AAATAAACCTGATGTCAAGTACCAGAAACATTTTATTTCACATAAAAATCCGCAGCCTATTCATAATTTAATAACTCGGTACTCGAGTTATCAGATTTTAATGATTAAATGAAATGCTGTACTGAAGTTTTTCCTAGCACCGACATTTCAAACGCATTTGAACACGCAACGCAACTCAAGTACGTAAGATTGTTTTCCTGAACGCAACTATCTAAACTTTTTTTTATTAGACACACGTAATCCGGTGTGGTAATCAACATTTTTCACCGGATACGCATTCGGCGAAGGTACGTGCTGTTATCTTCTCAGACCCGATCCCTTATTACGAGCAACAATGGGTCTATTCATAATGGCATATCCGGTATGCAAGCATCTACACGTACTTACGTTTCTACCAGTTGCGCTTTTCTTTTAACACGTTTACTTTATCCGAAGTGCTAGTTGCTAAGAAAAAAATTATATAGGAGACGATGGATACTTAGTATTTTATTTAATATCCACAATCTTCATAAATAATTATTATACAATTTGACGTACGTTTGAATTCCTTATCACTCGTTAAAAGTACATAATTCTATACTATGTGAAAGAAGAGGCGAAGAGGCAGTGTACATAAAATTTACATATGTAAACTGAGTACATGTTCAATGTATGTGCTTGTACGATCACTTATTCGGTATAGAATGAACTTTAGTTGGAACTGGCAAATGTCATCGGTCCGACGGGTTTATATGCAAAGCTGGAGCTAAAATGTTTCGTGACACATCGACTAGAGAGAGGAAAACTAACAAATAGAATCCTATGATATTTCTATATTACGAAATGAAATACAGTTGCTATTACAGAAATGTTAGAACGATTTGAATAAACCGGAGCGATCGGACAAGCTTAAGGTTTACGTAATGACTCAGAGTTCGTTTAATAAAAGCAAAATTAATGATGAAACACTGACGGTTGATCGTGGAACGAGATCGAAAGGAAATCCGATTCGGTGGACATTTCAGCTCGGTAAAAGGTTCGAAAGAGTTGAAATTGGTGGGGGGATAAGTCCACGGCCGCCGTGCCGTATTGTCCCGCGGACCTCGATTTGCTTTCACTTCCTCGCGTGTACACGTATCCTGTACAAAGAGCACGAACCGGTTTTCTACCGATGCGATACCCTCGGAACCGTTCGGTATTCTTGAACCTATCGCTCCTCGAATCTATCACCTTCGAGAGCTAAATTTGGGTCGCTCCCCGTTGCCCCGGGCTCTCAGAGGGTAGTTCAATACCGATTTCACTTTCAAACACGATTTTTTAATCCTGATTACAGTCGTTCGGAAGATATTTAGTTCGGTTAATAAATCGGTTTGTCAAGAAAATGATTGAAGCATTTCGATAATCACGTCCATTGATCTTGACAGTAATTACGGTTTATTCGTGGGATACAAGTTTTTATTAGAAGCACAGCGACCTCGACTTCCGTGAGCAAACGTCTTTCACTTTATTTCTACGATCTGTTTGAAGTAGTAAGTTCGTAATTATGAATTCACGCGTAATTGCTGCATAGAAAGTGGAATTTTTTAACCACTTTTCCACTATTCCAATTAAACAACTTTCTATTAAGATTATATAACAATTGTGGCATGCTAAATGATACTCCACCCAATGTAAAGAAATCATGTCTTCAGTGTACAGAAATTTAATGTATAAAATAATGAAAAGTTGCTGCAGATCAAACTGCCTAACTGTATAAGGTTCTTACAGGCATTACAGTTATCTCATCAACTTTATTCGTGCATTTTTATGTGTATTTGCTTCGTACATGGGAGTCTCCCTTGGTAAATAAATTCAATTAAATCGTTTAATATCGATTAGTATTTTTAAATACTTCAATCAATCCTGTTTCAAGTATTTGAGGTCTGATAAATAGTACGCGTAGTCTTTCTTGATTGGTTGCGTGTAGGTACATGTGTAACAGGACAAAGAGTTTACGCCTCGCATGCGATACGTATACTGCTATACAGTATACAGGGTGAGACATTAAGGAATATCATTTATGAATTTTATAATAAGAATTATCAAACTTGACGCACTGCTTTCTTTATTGATTGTACAATTTCTCCAATTACTTTGAGAAAAAGAAAATTGACATATTAATGTGAAAAATAAATCTTAACTTCAGAAGAAAAAAGATCGACATTATCTTATTATTTATTATAATAAGAGATATAAAAATTGATCCATTCCTAAGAGTTTTACGATTTTTATTTGGGAAAATATTCATTAGCATATTCTTGGCTCGATTCTTTTATGAATTGTATGAAATAAAAAAGGGAGATTGTCTTCTTTTTATGTCACTGACATCCTGATTAGCCAAAGCGGTTTGCGAAAGCAGTACGAGTAGTGGATCTTGGACCATTTCTCTCTGTCTCTCTTCCTGAATGCTCCGTTCTTCGTTTATCTCTCGAACTGGGTCAATGGGAATCTGTCTTGTTTTTAGTCATAAAGACGTCATTAACTTCGCTTGCCAACGATGTACTTTTTTTCTTTTTTTTGTCGCTTCACATGTTTTGCCATGTAACGTTTGATTATGCTATGCATAATTTTATGTCTGTTTCAAGGAAATGACTTAATTTATTGCGGCAATGTACAGATAATAAAAATTCTATAAAAAGGATTCATTAGAAATCGATTTCATAACAAAATCGTTAATCCCATTTCATGGTTCGTTTGAGAATGATTAATTTAAAAACGTAATGCACGAACTCTATATATAAAATAATATATCAGACCTTCGGAAAAATTGTCCCTTCTGATTAAAATATGCAGTAGGTACGTTTGACTGGGAAAACGTGAAAGTTTCCAGCGACTATGAATAACGGATGAGACTCTCTAAATAGCGCGGACGAAGTGGGAGGGAGAATGAAAAAGGCAATCTTAAAAGCGGGCATTAAACATTACAAGATAAGACAGATACGAGGAGTTCTATCGAGGAAACTGTGCTAACGAGTTAACCGTGTTTCGTGCTCCAGAAAGTAGGGAATCTAGCCTGTCTTCCAACTTTTTCTGTTGCACAATCGACTCTCTTACCAGTTTCATAGACCGCAATAGCCCCAACCTTCTAAATACGCGCGTCACGTTACATTCGAATTAATTTATAACAAAATTCGGAACGAAGTGATAATTACGTGATTTCATGATCGTCATGCAGTGTTTCTTATATTATTTTGTTTCATACTGTAATCTGTAATTTATATTAGTAAGTATTAGTAATTTTNTCTCATAACACAAAATTATTCTCCCTGTGACATTTTATAAAATAAATTATTTGTAAAAACGAATGATCATGCAGATTATGACACATCGTGTAAAAAATTGTATTCAACGATTGAGAAAAGAGTTGGGAAACAAGTTTCGAAATCTTGTACACGAAACGATAAACTCGGTTATTCTCAGTTCCGGTTTCGAGTTCCTTAAACGGTAATCCATCCACCGAAAGATTGAATCTGGCTAATTATTTACATTTTCATATTCCTCTCATTTGCTGTTTCTTCATTTTTATCGCATTCATGCGTTGCACCTTGCATACTTAATGGCTTGTTTCCGATACACTTCCGGTCGTAGTGTTGTACTCGGTACGACGATTGGTTCTCCAATCAGCGAAGAACAATTAAACAGTTGAACCGGCGATGAGCACAATTAATTCTCGTCGCAGACGTACTTCGACTTGCCCGATTGAAATTCAACTAGAACTTTCACTTCGATGACTCTAACTTGCCAAGTCCAGTTAACTTTCACACAAATTACGGTTCGCCGATTGTACGATTTAATCGTAACGTTATTTAAAACGTCGCTGCTCAGCTGTTGCGGATTTCTTCGCGCATAAGCGTGTTAATAATACACGTCACTCGAAAAATCACAGTCGCTCGACACGCTTGGTAACTAAGCGTTGAATAATCATCTAGATAAATACGCGAGCTTAATAATTCCGAGCGGGCACCGCGGAAGGGAGATCGATGGTTCGACCGACTCTGATCGATCGTGGAAACTCGCATTTACACGGGTTATATTTCATCGAGAATTTTCATCGATCTAAAAAAGAGGATCCTTGCTGGAAAGGACACTGGCACAAAGGAGTTCGAGGCTGACGCTCGCTCGCTCGCTCACTGACAGCGTTCGCGACTGGTGAAAAGTAACCAGCGCAGCGTGCCACGCCACGAGAAACCGTACTCTCCCCCTGTTTCCCCTCTTCACCTCTTCGGCCACCACCTCTTCTTCTTCTTCTTCACTGCCAATCGCCCCCACTGTATGCCAATTGTCAGAGAGAAAGGACAGCGGTTCTCAGCTGCCTCCAGCTGGAACACCACTCCCACACACCCACAAGGTGTCCACAAAACGTTCCCTGTTTTCATTCTTACCATCTATGTACAAATAAACTCGTAGCCCCGAAGAGATAAGAAATACAGGGAGGATAGGCTGTGAGTTAATTTATAC